CCGTAAAATCTCCCCACTCACCTGAGAAACTACTACAAATCATTACACAAATAAGAGAAGGCACATCAGTGCACTTTATAGTACTTGTTTTATAAAATTATTCCCCCCCCAAAACCCTTCCGTTAGGAAAACATTAGTATTGCCAAGTCAGAGCATCCAGAACCGAAGAGAAGCCACAATTAAATTTTCTGGCGCAACCTTAATTTGCTCCCTCCTCACTCCTTACTGTCAGGGCTTGCAAGCAGGCCACAATATAACCTTCAGCTACCCGATCACCACGTTCCTCATTCCAACCCAGTGCAAGAACTCTGGTGACACCACATTTTTGCATTGAGACAGGCTAGGTTGACTTTTTCAGCAAATAAAGGATATCTACATACAGTGTTTACCAACACTGAAACTATGTCAGGAATCCAAAAAAAGGAAAGAATTGAAGATATTCACAAGGGATCACAAGGGTCTTTCCGACATATAGTGCACGACTGTTTCCTCGGATGCCTCGGATGGTCTGAGACACATGAAAGTCCCTTTGGAACAGCACCAGTGCAGTTTCACACTTCCCCCTCTCCCAAGGAAGAGCCAAGAGGGACATAAGAGTCCAAAATATTCCTGCATTCAAGAAACTTACAGGTAAAACACCGCAGTCTTCTCCCAAGCTCTGTTACGTTCTTCCCTTTTTGAAGCTCTTTCTTCAAAGTGTATCACAAAGAATAAAACATGATTCTTGTTTACTAGTGAATTAGAACTACTCATACATCTTACCTGTGTTTAAAGACTGCTATCTCAAGTTTTTTTTTTCCTTCTTGACATAGCTTTAATTATTTCAGTCTTCTTAAATGGGTCACAGATATAACATGACTGTCCTCCTGCTTACATTCCTTTCCACTTTCTCAGTTCAGTGAGATGGCATAAAACTTTGGAAGTAAGTCACACTGAACACAGGTTTATCTGTGAATCACAAGCTAGCAATAAACACAGAGCTCTATTAGATGCTCACTTACCAAAACTAAATGGGAAGTCTGACAAAACAAAAACTGGAGTTGTTTTACCTTTCCCCACAATTACAACAAGAAAACCAGCTATCCTACCTTAGCTGCACATGAAAGTGCACACCCATCAGATTCCATGAATGAAGCTCACTATACCAGTGTGCAGTTACAGATATCCCAACTGAAAAGGATTCATTCCTCCTAGATCACAGCAAGGTAGTGCATGAACCACAGTTCAGATCCATAAACTAAAGAGAACAAACATCTTTTTGTGGCAGTAATCCAAAATGCAACAGACAAGCACTTCCTATCACTGTTTTGTTTAGATCCCCCAGCTGCTAATGCTTTTGAGCACGCTTTGCACTTAGTTTCCATGGCCCAGCTGTACATCAGATGTGGAGAGCTTCAAACTTAATTTTAAGCTTATAATGAAAATGAACTGCATTTACATACCACTGTCAGAATGCAAATGAGTTATGTATTTTGTGCCAAACAAAATCATTACATCTCAGTAGAACTACTGATGCAAAGATATGGTTCAAAAAGCCTCAGATCCTCTCTCTTCAGTATTATCTTTAAAATAAGGGTAATTAAACCATCAAAAAGTATGATGTTCAAACAGCAAGAAATATGAAATCCACAAAAAGAATTTCAAAGTTTAGATTTAAGCACTATCCAGAAGCCAGCACACTAGGATTGCCTGACCTCAAGCTACTCGCACTCAGGCAATCCTTCATACAAAATAACAAGTCAACACTTCCCATGGGTGCTAAACTGTGGTCAACGTTCAAGCTTACATGGACTGCTTTTCATGCCTAGTAAAGCAGATTAACTACAGTTAACAGTACATTGTTAAAAAGCAAACAAAGAAACCTGGTCATTCCAATCCATACAAACATACTTGTTGAAAAAAGCAAAGAGGAAAAGAGGTGACTATAATGATGCCACTTCTTACAAAAATACTACAGTAAATTTCCTCAATGTGTTTCATAGGAAATTGTGTATAAGTTTCTAGGTTGATAAATTAATAGGTACATAAAAGATCCTAGAAAATCCAACCAAATTTAAGCATCAACTGTACCACAGATACAAATAACATTCCAATAAGCCTCAACTGAAAGACAAAAACAAAATGTAAGGCAAATAAATTTTATTCAGTGTTATCCTATTATATTACCATTGTATCTTACAGTTGTTTGAATGTCATTCATCCAACTATTAAAAAAAACACATCACTATGTATGAAATGGTAACTTTTTCTCCAAAGAAAACAGTTTCATTCTCCTTTGGCTTGAACAAAAGGATTTCAGAACACTGCAAAATAGCTTCACCAAACCTATAGACAAGCATGCCGTTGTGCCTTTGACAGACCGACAGAACCGTAAACAAAAGGGAAATGTGGTCAAGTTCAATCTCAACTTTGTCCTCAAGTTTGATTTATTTATAAAGAAGCAAACTCTGTCAATTAAGAGCTTTCACATTAAGGATCACACAGATAAACAAGAAACCAGAAGATAGCTTCACAGGACTGTACTTCCTGTCCCTCCTTGAAGCTTCCTGCCACATAAATTATATTTTTTAAAAAACCACAAAACCCAGCCAACCATCACTGAACTGCTTACAGATCAAGTTTAAGAAGAGAACTGTAACCTTAATTTGCAAATGAGCAATGATTATGCAACCTTAAATGTCTTCCCGATTCATATGAAATTGCATTTTCACTTGTAGATATGCAGGAGATATTTATAAGCCTTTCCAATATGAAATCAAACTAGTTTAAGAATGTAGCTTCTCTTTAAATGCATACACAGCATTTGTGTTAAAAAAGATTTATAAGACTAGACAGCTCACTATTTGAACAGTGAGATCTCGCATCACCCTATTCATAACAATATTTGCAGCACAAGAATATCCCTGTACAGCTGGGATAATAAGACTAGACTAGACAGCAGGACCTCAAGCTCATTTTGTACGAAAAGTTCTTCAATCTCCAAAGCACCTTAAGTGCAGGGCTATACAAAAGAGAGAAATTCAAAGTAGTTATTAAAATTCTCTGTACAGATTGAGGTATTCCCACAGTAAGGTCCTAAAGTCGTGCAGAAAAAGACAGACCCTAAAACGAATCCTTAAGTTCAAATGCCTTGGATTTTTTAAATTATGAACAAGTAAAGGAAAAACTGTATGCATTGACAATTTATCGTAAAGAAGTTTCAACCCTCCGCAATATATGGAGCTATCCTTCATAATAAACTCTGTATCTGACAGAAATGAGAAAAAGAGCTGCAAGACAATTCAAAAGAAAAAGATTTAAAAGGCAAAGAACTGCCAAATCCATTTAACAGGACAGAATAATGTAAAGTTTGTTTTATTTTGATAGATTTCATAACTTCAGAAGAATCAGCAAGCCTCTATCTACTGCCTGACAGGAAGTGCACCATTCTCTTCCACTGTGACGTTTTGGCACCTCTGTGATCATTTTTCAATCACCCAACTCTCACATAAAGTATCTCTGGCAATATTCTCCAAGTGAAAATTACCAGAATTTAGAAAATGTTTCTAACAATACCAAATTGAAGACTCTGATACCAGAAAGCATGTCACACTGTGAACTATGGTTACCAGGATGAACTCCACAATGCCATTACAGGGAAGTACTTAAGTGCTCTGAGGATCTGCAGAGTTGCTACATAATTAAACTAAAAGCTTTTAACCGTACATGTATGTCTGAGCACACATTTTTCATCACTTGACATTTTTTTGGTCCATCCAAACACTGCAAAGGGAACACTGATCATTATAAATGTGCCACTTGTACATTCTGAAACTGCCAAATTCAGATCTTAGACCAGCAATAAAATAACACCATTAGTAAACCTAAAACAGCAGCCTAGTAGCTAATTTTACAACTTCTGAATCTCCCAGATTTTCAGCAATTAAAAAAAAAATCAATACAAAGGTTAAGATTGAACAAGGAACAAGATAGGAGGTTGTAACAAAATGATGCATTTTTCTATCCAATAATGAACATTTCAATATGCATAAATTCTTGAAAGAAATCTTCTAAATATATTCAGCATTCAATTTCACAGACAAGATAAAAATCATTTTTATTGAGACAAATTTGTTAGCACTGGCATTTTAAATGTCAGATAAAAACAAAAAACAGCGAAGTAAAAGTAAGAAGTTTTATGATTAACCTTCTAGAACTTCAGCATCCATGTGACTGTACTTAACACCTTCTGTAAAACACTGCTCAAAACCCCTTTTTTCTTTTAACTAAGGCTTCAGAGCACTTTTGACAAGTCAATCAATACCCTCATAAACAAATGATAAGCTGAATGAGATAATCTTACATAGCTTGCATGGACACATGCTGTGTATTCCATTAATTTCCTTGTAAACGTCAGAACTTTCTGTTCACTGCTTTACACTTCAAAACACTGACAACTCCTTCTCTGCACCACCTTGTGTTCTACTTCAATAACAGTTATATTGCCATTGGTACTTGCTCTAGTGTTTTCTTCAGCTTTTCTTTTGTTTTGTGGGTTTTGGTTTGGGGTTTTTTGTTAGACCATTTATTTCAGAACCAGTTAAGCAGCCCACCATGCCAAATAAGGGCATTCTTAATTACATCTTAAGGTGTAAGCCATATGATGCTTTCATACACGTACAGCCCACTGGTGAGAATGGCAGCTCTCTACATGAGGTCTGTCAACTAGGTTATGTCAGAAGGGTGTTATCTTGGATCTTCGTTCATTACCAAAGAGGCTGTTAGAAGAAAAGCTTAGAAAGAATGATGCATAAAGTGAAAATTACTCAGCTCTCTTTCACTGTACTGACCAGTTTAGAAGACAAAATAATATTCAGCTGGCAATCTTTCACATTGCCACTCCAATATTACTGCTTCCAATAAACACAGGTGGAAACCGTTTTCCATACAGATCTTATGCAAAAAAAAAATACAGCCCTTCACTGCAAGCATGTACAAGAACTGTTCTGCACAGGAGCATTTCATGTTCCCTTCTTCATATACCGGGAGAGGAACTGGCTTCTGACAAAGTGGATCAGCTTGGTCTCTGTGCAGAACATAGTAACGATGGTTGCTGCAAAGCACAGAGCCCCCATGCTGATGTGAATCAGCTTTGCCATCCAACCCTTATCGCAGCAGAAGAATACCTACAACAAAGGAAACAAGCAATTGCAGGAAAACTAGTCAGCACAAAGTAGATTTACTGTCTCAATAAAAAACAAAGTCCAACACTTCTCCTGACCATGCTAACGCTACCACCAAGCCAAGTGCAGTTTTGCCACAAGCACTGATCCTACCACAAATCATCTTTAGTAGTCACACCACCTGCTTTCTTTAGAAAATTCCGTCAGCAAAAAATGAGCATTCAGTAGATAGTAGTAGCTTCCACATTTACCAGGTATCTGGCATGCAGAAATATGTTAATTGAGATATTAGGAAAACTCTGCTGGTGCTATCACACAAGTATGCTACTTTGCAACAATGTATTAGGCTATTTTCTAACAAAACCCCGCTGGAAATCTCCCATTACAAAATATAAAGCTCTCCTTTCTAAGGCATAATGGATTCTCAATCTCTCAAGTTTTTGTACATTGAAATGCTACCATCTCCATAATAATCAGTCTGTGCAATTGTAGTCTTGAGTACATGTGATAAGTGTGCTCTTGGCAATTTCTGCTCCTGTTCTTGTTTTGATTGTTTTTCCTCTATCACTTTATTACTACAGAATTTTTAATAACAGTTTATTTGTTCTACTGCAAAATTTCAGTTATTATTAAGAACTAAGGACATGGATTTAGCTACAGAGAGCACAAATGTGATAAATTTTATTTTACACGTCAGATATCCCTTCTACAGGTGGCAGAGATAATTTTGTATCGAAGATAAAATCTCTTAATATCTAATCTTGCCTTGCCCATAATGGAAGTCTTCCAACCTATCCACATAAGCCTGTTGTGCTAATGGTATTTCTCTGCTTCTGGACAAAGAAGTCATTTGACACCAACTTTTACAGTGAAAGCAAAATCTGAGAAAGATGCTTACCTCTGAGAAACCAGTGATTACTCCACTTATGATATAAATGAGTACCAAAAACGGTGAGGGAAGCAAGCCTGTCAAAGGCCTGTAAGTGCTTTCTTTGAAGTAATCATAGATATAATGAATGCTGTGAGCTATTCGAATACCCATGTTGAAGCAGTTGGCAAGGATAAAGCCTATACTGCCATGCCAGTAGGTCAAGAAACAAGAGATGCACAGAAATGTGAGGGACAAGGCCAGCATAACAAGATTGTACCTAGGGAAAAAAAGAAATAGTTTAACAATGTATACTGTTACAGTATTTATTTACTAACTTTACCTTGGAAGAAATACCACAATTTATTTTTTAAGATGGGGAAGATAAATTCTCTTACAATCTTCTAATAGAAGATACATTTGAGAACCGAGCTGTTAATAAAAAAATTCAATGAAAGAATTGAAAAATGCATCAAACGAACCAAGAACTACATTATGTGAGGGAAATTCTATTTCACTTATCATCTGTATACTCATTTCAGAAAGTCAAATTTAGTAACAATGATTAGTAATGTAAAAACATGTGCATTTTTTGCTATTTTGTTTTAGCTATGTATTAAAGAAAAATAATGCTCAACAAGATGATGCTTTATTTAGTTTCTGCTCCGAACAGTGGCTTTGAAAACAAGCTCACACACTTTACAGGGGTCGTGAAAGTAGCCCTTGCTAACTCTAAAACATACTACTTTGACCATGGAAAGCAGGCCTCATTGAAATTCATTTGTAAAGGCCTTGTAAGGAATAGCCGCTACATAAGTGAAAAAAGGTTGATGGTACGTAGCACTGGGAAGGCAACCAGGCTTCAAAGTCAATGACCCAGGATGAACACAAAACCAAGAAATAATCCAGGCTGGAAGGGATCTCAGGAAGTCATCTAATCCAATCACCTACTTGAAGTAGATAAACCACTGAATTCAGACCCACAATTGAGATCATTCAGGAGCGTATCTGTTTTACAGTAACCGTACATGAGAAATTTTAACAGTTGTAAAATTAATGGAGTTTTAAGTGATAGTCTGTCTTAAACTATAACTTCAAGTGCATATGTACAGAAAGCAAGACTTCAAATTTAAATTACTTTTCCAGTTAGTGATGTACCAAAAGCTAATTTAACAACCTTTTCATTTCTTAATTTCTGACTTTTTTACCCAAATGTTTAAACATTTGCTAAAACTTCTACACTTAAATCTACATGCAGACAGCTAAAGAAGGAGTTGGTTTTCAGTGGGCCAGGATATTTATATGCTGATTTCAAATGCACCAATCTCTTTATAAGGTCATTACAAGTAAGTTTTTAGGAACATCAATGTTTATCAACAAATACAAGCATGTAAAAGACAAAAGCAGCACATGTTGGCTTGCCTATCTGTTGCACCTGGCTCTACAGACAAGGAACATAGTTCTTGAAGTGACTGCAGAAAAAAATTTGCTCTTTGGAAAAAAAGCATTTCCAAGCACATACCCGCATAGAACAATTGTTCTGTTTACATACTGAGCTCCAAGCAAACCACATGCAGACTAATTACAGGAATATTCTGTGACACTATCTCCTACCTGTCTACCTCTTCCTTGCACATCAAAGCAAACGTAAAACATTCTGTTACTCCATTGATAGCAAGAAATAGGACATATAAAGAGTAACATCGAAGGAGATCTGGACCTAAAAAACATGTTAGAATGGTAAGTAGATTATAATTTCTTTTATAAAAACTTCTTTGTTTTTACACTTACTAAGAGATAAAAGTTGTAATGTTATCACTAATAATGGAAAATTAAGTTCATTTGAACAAGTTTCCTGTCTACATATCTTGACAAGAACACAAACAAAACAAGGCAAAATAAAAACAAAAATAAAACCCCAAACACCCAAGAATAGCAGTTATGATAGTAACAGAAGAGATACCCATCAAAAAAAGTACTTTATTAAAAGGGATTTCCTCATTAAAAATTTATATTCCTCATAACCCAAAACTTCTATTGTACAGAAGTTTATGGAAATTAATTCAATAGTCATTATGAGGTACTAAAAGCAATAAAACCCTCAGTATATTTCAGTTTAAGTAACTACATATTAAAGACGCTATTACGAAGGCATGCATTCTGGATTGAGACAAGCTAAGTCACTGATTTCAATAGGAGTTTTACAGGAAAAAAAAAAAAAATCTACTGATTTACCCAGGAATTCATAATAGCTGCAGCTTCTCTTCTTAAAGAATGGCTTCTCTGCCAGCTCGATAAATCTTTACCTGTTCCAGAACTGAGCATTGAGCCTCCATAAATATCCAGAGCCAGCTGAGAATAGGCATAGCCAAAAACTGTGATGGTAAGGCCAATCAGAAGTACAAGTTTCAACAGCAGTTCCAATACATTCGCAGCCATAGCAACATCATCCTGAAAAAAAATTTGACAATTACATGAGTCAGAATCAAAACAATATTTTCACACAGAAAAGCTACTTCACAGAAAAAAAACAGTTTGCACAGTGTTAAAAGGTGTGAAACGTATTCTTTGTTATCGAATTAGCCATACACATGGTCTTAACTTCCAAGAATTTTTATACATTTATCATTCCATTCTATGTTTTACACATTACAAATTCTACACAAGTACTAGCCATGAACATGTCTGTTCAAGGAAATGTGCAAACACCTGCACCTCTTTAACAGCAAGTAAGTGGCAAAGAAGTGCACAGCATCTGCCCATGGCCACAGTTTGAGTCAGCAGGAGGGTCAGATTTTTTTTGCTGCATGGGACTACAGGATTTGCCACACCAGAACAAGTAACTTGTCAGTTCTACTACCTCATTACAAGAAGCATTCCTGTAGTTATTGTAAGGTAATGTAATTCACTACACAGAGTGAAAACTCATAATCATTTTGCCAGTTATACATATCAGGCACATTATATATAAAATACATATATACATACAACTTTCTTAGCACATCAATGACCTGAAACATGGGATTTGTTTAACTGCATGCTGATGTGCAAGTAACAGGGTTACTGCAAAAAGTTTTCATAGTATCAGACAAAAGCCCAGGCTGACCTTCATGACTGATCAAGAATTTCTTACCTAGAGCATGCACAAATATGACTCTGTGGAACAAAACTCTTGTTCATTTAATGATTGATACACCACAAACAATTCAAAAGCTCAAGCAAAATACAATTCTTTGCTTCCCAAAAGTGCACTCTTTGGAAAGATGACTGTTTCATACTTCACAGCTACTTATATTTTCAAATAAATCAAATATTTTCAGACAGAATTTTTTGATAGAAATGGCATGCTTTCATGATTTAAATAATTGCCTAAGTATATCTGGAAATACACAGTACAATAGGGTTTTTATCACACTGTTTGGAGCGGATGACGTTAACTTCAGTATAATACAAGGCAGTACTATGCCACTGCATATCTTAATTTCTATTTCATTAGGATTTTACCTATTTTCTTTTCTTTTTGGTCCAGCCTCACTTGACATTTTTGTTCTCCACTTCAACTTTCCAATTTTAACAGCCTTTATACTCAAATTTAAACACACACTTCTGTCAGTCACACTTCTGTGATGCAACTTATCTGTAATAAAAATCAAGCATTTGACATGTAATTAATCCAAAATAAACATACCTGCTTCTGATCCTTTACACGCTTCCCTCTTTCCAACACTTTAGCAAAAAAGATATAAAAACTCTCCTCAATAGGCAAAAAGATAAATCTGGCCACCAGTGAACCAAGATTATTCACGATATCATATACACCTTTAAAAAAACCAAAACACAACAACATAGCAGCAACCTGTAATTTTTTAGATGCATTTTTAATTCCAAGTCTTTAACAATTACATGAATACTAATTTAACATTTCCACCAAACAAACAGAAAACAAGTGGAATTTAGCACAACAGTAAAGCAGTGTTCCCTAAAAATTCTGACAGTCACAGCAACAACAACTCAAAATTACAAGGCTTGCTCAGATGCAAAGCTAGGACAAAAGCATCAACTACAGAGATATGAATCTAGTAACAGCACCAAGCCACGTTTAAAATTCTTACTGTAGAGGAAGTTAAAAGATCCTGATGAATTTCACTGAATGAGAACAGGAATGTAACGATTTACTGATATAGCAGAACAGAAAGATATCTATTTTTAGTGTGAGGTTATTCTTTCTTTTTACTTTAAGTGAAGTGGGAGAGCAATCCTACATGACATTTTACCAGCACTTCCATTCTCAGCAAGATACTGCTCCCAGCCTGCTAAGACATCTACATATGTGTGTATACATATATACACACACACACTCACACACAGTACAGTCACTGAGAGCATACAAAGTCAGGCATATGGATAAGTGCTTTACACATTCACAGTGAAATTAATAAGGTTCTGGCTGATTTATAGGACTTGAACCAATGTTTCTCAAGATTTTGAGAGTACAGGCATTTTTTTTTTAGTCATTGCTCATTTAAAGACCCTTTCAAGTAAGAAGCAGCTCAACTGTTCTGCAGGGGAGGAGGATGAGAAGCGGCCACAGTTACTGGTGGCAAGCAGATATACTCAGGATTTATGGGGGAACATACTACTGCCAGCAATTAAAACTAATTCGAACTAGCCAAGAAGCTAACAGTGGGATAACAATTACAGCCTATTTTCCTTCCCCAAGCTATAAAAACCCAAGGTGCTGCCAACTCAGTCATCTGAATGGCTAGTGCCATACATTACTCTAATCACACTGAATTCCTTTACAGAACATAATTCAGTTTTGAGATGCAATGCTATAAAAAATTATGTTCTTGCTGTAACAGCTAACAGATTCAAAAGCAGGACAGAAAACAGCAGGAAAACAGAATTACAAAAACTGAAAACAGACAACTATAATACAACGTATACTAATGAAGGGTTCTGTTGGGGGTTTTTTCGTTTGTGGTTTTTTGTTTTTGTTTTTGTTGTTTTGGGGGTTTTTTTTTAGAAAAAAGACACACGGTATCATATACAATTGGACAGTTTTGACCCAAAGGAGAAATTAAAACCCAGGAGCTTAAATTACATTATTTCTGTATCAATCATTCTCTGAAATGTATCTCAAAGTCACAAAGGCTTTGAAATCTTCTCAGATTTTCAAGTTATCTTCAAATACTTCAACTCATTTTCAGAACCATCACACTTACCCTGATCTGCAAAATTTAACACATTCAAAAAAGTCATCACATATCGTTCACCTGTAAGTTCAAAATAAAGAGCTTAAGAACAAGTCCCTAAATCTTTCCCAATACTTGCTCAGGCACTTCCAATATTAAGTATTCAAAAGACAAAGTCAAACAGGACAGCAGGGTTCAGAATATCCTCAAAAACTTCATTCAGGTTGGTAACACCTGGTGGCAACAACATCTGAAAGTCACATGCCCACGCTCCCCGCCCCCCAGCTTTCTCAAGCTTTAAGTCAATTTTATAGATAGTATTGACTAGCCCTTCTCCAGCACAACTATGTGTCAAGCCTCACCCTCTGTCAAAATCTGTTTCAAGAAGGATTGTTTGAAGAAACTCCAAGTCAGCCGTGCTTCCCTCCAGTTAACAAAAGTCTGCAAAAAAAGTATTGAAATGTAGTAGACATGACTGAAACTGCGGAGTGGAAATAGAAAATACAAAGCCAGTACAATACTCTAGGCTAGCTCTAACTGTACTGATAAGGAAACGCACAGTGTCATAGTTACTAACAACTAATCCAAAATATTGCTAAATTCAAGCACCAATATCAGTCTGATCCAGCAAAGACTTTTTGCCTTGCTGAAAATTAACGGTTGTTGCAGATCAAGTATTCAAACAAGCTTTCTACAGAATTTACTAATCAAAGTTAGAGATGGGGAAAAAAAAGATGCCATTTAGCATGCCAATATAACTTTCACCTTCATTGTAGGTTTACTGTTCTTTCAGACTGTCCCTACAAGTCTTGCAACCAAGAATCACCTTTATCTTTTCAACCTGTAAATCTTTTTCGAAATGTCATCTTCCTCACTGTACCTCTTCATTTCTTTCTTTGCCTCATTTTCTTTTGAGAGAATATCAGAGATATTTGAGTAGCTGTAGGATGCCATATACCACCATGTTTATTTTGTGGAAAAGTCCAAGCACCAAAATCCGTGGTAAAATGGTTCAGGTTTCTTTCCTGCCTCAGACCCAGTGATACCTGGTCATTCCCTTGCACACTGCAAATGTTCTATCTCCAGTTAATGGTTTGTGCAAAGATACTAAAAGATAAATCAGCAACACACCCACAACCACAAAGAGGTCATTTCATAACGTTTTTCTGACAAGGATTTTACTAATACAAACTACAAGCAGCATTTTTATGTAATTCTTTTTTCCTTAATCGGTCATATCTTCTACAGTGCAGAGCTATCCCCAAAATCACTCAATTAACTCCACTCTTGCAAATTAATTTTCAAAGCTCTCTCAACAAAGATGGGGGGGCGGGGGGAGGCGTGCAGAAATCAAGAAATGAACCATGCAACCTACCTCATCTTCCACCCAGTTAGGTAATAGAGCTTTCATTCTAGCAACTGGGAATGACTTCTTTGTTGCTTCAGGAGATCCCAAAAACGTCACAAAATAGATTACATAGCACATTACCAGAACACTGGCATATAAAAGCTGGAGAGACAGGGAAGGATAGAACAAAAACAAACAGTGATATAAAATTAACTTACAAATGTAGAATTGCATAGAGTTCCAAATTCAATGAGAAGAACACACAGTAAGTATTAGGATCCTCTGCTAAGGATACTTACTTTACTTAGTAGTAAATAAACGTAGCAAGTATCCTTATTCCTGTCAATTATTAAACTAGGTAAAGACGTTAACACCTCTAAAGAATGCTGTTGAATTTTCTTCCTTTTTTTAATCAGCAGGTTATGTGAGCCCTTTGCTAACTTTTATGTTCTGTTCAGCATTTTTAAAATTATGAAAATCCAATTATAAAGCAATTATTCATTCAGTCAAAAATAAAGTCGACACAGTAGCTACTATCTACATGTCTGTCTCCATAGAATCACAGAATCACGTAGGTTGGAAAGGACCTTTAAGGTCATCAAGTCCAACTGTTAAACTAGCACTGCCAAGTCCACCACTAAGCCATGTCCCTAAGCACTACATCTACACGTCTTTTAAATACCTCCAGGGATGGTGACTCCCCCACTTACCTGGGCAGCCTGTTCCAATGCTTGGCAATCCTTTCAGTGAAGAAATTTTTCCTAATACCCAATCTAAACCTCCCCTGGCACATCTGGAGGCCATTTCCTCTTGTCCTGTCACTTGCTTCTTGGGAAAAGAGACTGACACACACCTCCCTACAAGCTCCTTTCATATAGTTGTAGGGAACAATAAGATCTCCCCTCAGCCTCCTCTTCTCCAACTTCAATCAGTTATAAGCTACTCATTACAATCACTATAAAAACTGAGCAAAAAAATAACTTAATGTCCACGTCTGAGGTGAATCACGTTTTTATTTTTAGGTGAACTGATAGCGCATAGGCACAACCCTATTTTTCAGGTGCTAATATATCCCCTCTTCATTGCAGTAAAGCAAGTTTTAACCCGAATAGATGTTACACATCATTAGCACCTTCTGATAAGGTGATACAGGTTGATGGTACAGGTGGATAAAGTTACATGTGATTATAATCTTATACACAGTAGAATCCAAAGTCTAACATTAATTCTGAAGCCAGGTGGTGAACAGAGTCTTCAAGCATTAGAATGTGCAACTCATTGAGAAAAAGAGTCAACATAAAGCTTATACAGAATAACATAACCTTATTTACAAAATTTGCCTTCACAAAGTGCTTTCTTGTACCTCCATTAAACTGCTCAAGGTCAAAGTGCCAAGTCAATTTCAAGTATCGGGAAAATACTAAATACAAGTGATAAACCTTTAACCTCCCAGGAACATTTTCTCTCACCTCTCCAAAGTTATTTTGCAGATTACATGTCCAAGGCAAGTAAAAATTCAGATGAATCAAGAATTTATAGAAAAAGAGAACACAGGAAACTTACCTGAGCCGAGGAAAAAATGTAGAGGCCCCACTGAGGATAAAGGACTACTAAAATAACCGTCAAAATGCATTTTGACACTACTGAAAGGCTTTCAGCAATTACCTTTAAGAAAGAGAAAATAGAGAAGGTTTATTTTCTGCCAACTTAACCACATACACAAATTTAAAATATATTAGTTTCACATACAGAATTTATGTAGGAATATAAGACTTTCAAAATCACTGTGACTTTATCACAGTTTCCTTCTGCTGAGTTGGGCATCTTAGACTGTAACGTCTCTGTATATTTTCTATTCTTGCATTTCACAGTTTCCCCACTGCACTTTCCCCGTCCTTTGTATGGGACATAAGGGAGAAAAATTTGCTTGAGACAATCATGTTAACTGTTGCATTTCACAATTTCATACCAAGAATCAGTTGAAATGCAAAACTGTGGAAGCTGTGTGCCTCTCCAATTAAAACTATTAAGTATTTAATGACCACTAAGGTGATAATTTCTACATGAACCAACTTTCTTGCTTTAACAGGTACAAATTCTTATCTGTTACAACTATGTCATACCGTACTGAACAGTAGACACAAGTGTTTCTTTTTATATGCTTGAATATACAAACTAGTTCAGTAACCTGTTCTTGTCAATAAAGATAATTCACACACACACCCCCCACACACCCCGCCCCCATGTACTTTACTAACCTTAAGTCTCACAAACAAATGAGCTTGTGCTAAAACCCAGAACGGTTCTCCCAGAAGTTCAATAATTGCAGAAAGACCAAATGCCACTACACCAGCCTGATAATGAGGAACCACAGAAGGATCAGGTACTTCAAGCAAGTGTAGCCAGACTAAGCCCAAGAAAATAGACCAAAAAACACCAAGAGGGACTCTAAAAAATTAACATAAAAGCAAATCAATTGAAATGTTACTTTAGCAGAAAAAAACCCCAAAGAAAATTGGGATTAATTAGATTAAAATGTCACATATGGCCACAATAATTTTTAAAAAAAGGCTCTGAGGAATTAATTTCTACTGTTACTATACCAGGAATACCTTTTTTTTTGGTAACAAACATCTTTAAGACATTCTTTACAAGACACAGAAAACATTTTTCTGACTTGTCTATTTTCTACTGAAGAACCTGACATAAGGTCAACTATCTGCATTTCTTGTTCCCTAGGACCAAACAATTCGGATCCCACGTCAATCTGCAGAATACTGCAAACCCCTCATTGCTGCAATTTTTGTAGTCTGTGGTTACCAGGGGTTTGGCAGACAAGCTTTGCTGGATCTTACTATAACAGATAAAGATGCCACCACTCCAACTGGTAGCCTCACTCTTTCAGAAATCATTGGTTCTCCAATGAGCGACAGCAGAGTGAGCAGAAGAAAATGCATGCCTGCACCTCAGGTATGCCACTTCACTATGTTCTACTGTAGCTCAGAGCCACTTTGATTAGTAACTGTAGCTAAAAAGCCAAGCTAGGCACAGAAGCACAGACGTGTATTACCTTCTGTCGACACTGCTTCAGGAACACGAAGCTTCTGGCAGAGTGCAGAAAGTTTTACATCATTGCAGCAGGATCTATTTGACCCTCCCATTATCAAACCCCTAAGGTATTTGACATCAAGCTCCTAAGACGTATTTCAGATCCTTCAAGAAAGTTAATCTTCATTTTAAGTTATGCTTCTCTATGAGGAAAAGTTTGAAAAGAAACAGGTGCACACAGTCATTGTTAACCATCATTTAATGCCCACTTGAAAGGCTGTCAAATAGCAGAAAACTAATTATAAGACAGCAAACAGATGTAATACATTTAAAATACTAGTATTAAACTACCCCTAAAAGGAACAATCCCTCCTCTTTATACCTGGATGCAGCTGATCACGCATAACCCCCCATTCCTGGGCCAGATCTAATTAATAGCTGTGCAGTTCCAGGAAGTCAATAGAGTGCCCCAATGGAAGACTACTATTTTGTCATGCACAAGTGGGTAGTTTACCACATTATCAGGCAGGTAAACTTACTCCCTAACCCACCTAACTGTGGCTGCAGAGCTGCTAGATCTGAGAGAGGGGAAGTAGCAGAGAGATGCATCCCGGAACCAGAAGGGAGAAACAAGTCATAAAATCCACTTAGCTGCAATGTGCAATTACACTCTCTGGCTGCAGCTTCACGTAGACTTTAAGCTATCCACTTGCTGCTGCAAACAGCACTGCAGTTGAAAGCAGTTGTCCCACTTACTCCCTGTTGCTTAATGCCAACTCATTCTTTCACCTTTTCACATCTCTCCTACCCAACACAAACATTTATGTTACCATGCCATGAAATCGCATCAGGGCTCAAGACTTTAAAAAAAAATTAGTTTGAAGGGGAAAAAAGAAATATCTAAAGAGCAAGATTAAACAGGCAGAGTAAGAAAAAAGGACTATGTATTTGTGCAATAGGGTTTTCCTTTAACAGCTACAACATAAATGAAACTCCAGAGTAAGTGGCAGTAAATGAATGAAACAACATAAATGAAACTCCAGAGTAAGTGGCAGAACAAGCTTTGGCTTTGGCTCCTGATAACACCTTTCATGATGTACTTTCCCATATGCTCCCAAAAGAGATCAAGTCCATAAACGCTAAAGCAATGGACTTGACCAGCTTCCTGCATCAGTCCTGAAACATGACTGAGGCTACTACCTGCTCAATGCTAAAATTACGTCAGTAAATAAATACTTGCTTTCGTTTTGTGAGTTCTCAGACAAGAATTAGAAATAAATTCTAAAGAAGTACATTTTTAAAGGTATCTTACGTCATCCACAAAAGATTAATTGTTTTGGTCCAGTTTCTCTTCGTACTTCCACTCAAACAAGCTCTGCGAAATGCCTCCCTGGCTAGGAAGACAACTGTTGAATGCAGTAGAGTTAGCCTGAAGTAGGTGAGGAGACAGAAAAAAGAAAAAAAGAAAAAAGATAAAAGAAAAAAAAGAAAAAATTATTTCTTTACATACTACTTCTGAAATCCTTCATGAAGTAGCATCATTGACCGTTTTTACACAGGACCACCTGACAGACAAATCTAACAGGTATGCAAAGAAAACATGGTGATATGAGGTAAATTATCACCACCTCCTAAAAAAGGAGGGAAAGTAGTTACATGTGATTATTCAAATGGCAAAAATACTTTAAGCATTCTACAGACCAAAAGCACAATTGCAAAATTTATTGTATAGCAATAGAATATAATATGCAATTATGTCTAGCTTTTCCTCAGCGAACTGATGATTTAACACAGAAAACAGGCCAGCAGTACCTGTTTCAGGACAAAAAAAGTACTCGGGAGACATTCAAAGGTCAAACACTGTAAAACACCGAACAGTAAATTAAACAGCGTTACGCAAAGCATTATTAGTGACACACCCTACAGACCACAGGCCCCGAAATCCTGCACCAAACGCAAACGCTTTCAAAAAAGCCCCATCACGCCGGGAGCCCTGCGCTGGGGAAGCCTCACGTATGTCAGGCTCCGGGCAAACCGCGCGGTCGGGATGTGGGTCACGGCCTTCCAGCCCGGGTGCTCTTCACCCTCCTCCTCACCTCACGTTGACCACGCCGATCAGCTCTCTAGAGAGGTAGCGCAGGGTGAAGGCGTTCAACCCGAAGGTGACCAGCCGGAACAGCACCTGTGAAGGAAGCCGCACGGGAAACACCTGCGGGCCGAGCGGGGCTGAGGCGGCTCCCGCCAGGCACCGCGGAGGAGTCGGAGGAGGAAAAGGAGGGAGGCGGCCCGGGGCGGCCCCGCACCTGCAGCAAAGCGCTGGAGGAGGCCAGCCGGGTGGTCTGGCTGAGCACGTCCTGCGCGGCCATCGGCTCCC